CTCGAGCGCCCCCGTAGAAACCAGCAGCCGCCTCGGTGTGAAAATGGGGTTGAGGGGCAGGGTGGCTGGCGGCGATCGCGGGGCTCTGACCCCAAGTGGCTGCCCAACTCGCGTTTGACCCCCAGAACTGGTGTGGTCGGTGACTTTAGCCCCTCAAAAATGAGGAGCTGGAGGCACGCTCTGCGCCAGCGGTGGCGTAGCTCCGGGGCTAAACACCAGCGGGAGCCTTTGCACGGAGCTCCCAGGCTTGCCTTGCCTCCCCGAGCTCCTCACCCAGCAAAACCTCCCGAGCTTGTGCTGAGCTTTGATTCTCAGGGCTCCCCCCCGGCTCCTCTGGCTGATGCACGTGGTGGCCCCCGTCCCCGTAATCACGGGCTTATTGCAGGGCTGATCCTTCCGAGATCAACATCTCCGATGAAATGTCCAAAACGACCGTGTGGAAGGCTCTCACGATGAACACAGAAACGGTCTGAAGAGGTAAAGGATTCCGTGGGAACGGGACCGTGCGAGGGCACGCGCTGCGGGGTTCCCCGTGCTTTGGCCGGCGATTCCCGTCCCTGGGAACAGGCCGAGGGGGGGGACCATGGCGTGCAAACCAGCTCCTCCCCGCCGGGGAGCTCCCACAAACAGAGCTGAGTCAGCAGCAGCCGGCAGCTCTTCCACTGACGGTGCTCTCCCTCTTTTTCCCTTTATTTTTTTTACTTTTTTATTTCCCCCCATCCCAGTTTTCATGTTTCGGAATCTTGCCTTTGAAGGAGAGGCGTGAGAACGTGACTCAGGGATGTGCCAACGCAGACACGGGGAGAAACCGCTTTATTTCCGTTGGAGGATTCCCATTTAAGCCATGCAGACGTGTTCAGTGATCCTTGGTGTGCTTCAGGCATTCAGTATCTCTAGACCAGCAGACTGAGGTGCACATCGCAACCGGTGGGAGTTCGGTGGTGTTGAGCCTCTGTGTGTACGTGCGTGTGTTGTTGCGGTTTTGTAGTGGTAGAGGGACTGCTACCGCTTCATCATCCAGTGCTATTTTTTTAATATCTGATTCCTCTTTTTTTTTTTTCCAAATATAAACTCTGAATGTACAAACTCACTTTCTGCTATATTTGACGCATTCTCCACTTTCTTCTTCATCAGACTGGCGTTTTGATCTGGTTTGGGGTCCTGGCTTTAATTCACTCTTCCGTCTCTTACCGGTACGAGGGGGATGCCCTCCATGGCGGGGCAGCGTAGAGAGCGTCCGAGCGGTCGGAAAAGCATTTCCTCCCTGCGCCCCAGTTTTACATCGTTTTGGGTTCCTTGGTTGGTGGTTGGTTGTTTTTTTTTTTTTGCTTTTGGCTCGGCCATCAGCCCGGGAGCTGCAAAATGATGCCACCTTCTTGTCCCTGGGCCGTGAACTGAATATCAGGGAGCACTTCAAATCGAATACCTTGAGTACACCGTACGGTCCCGGGGGCAGCCGGGTGGGACGTGGGGCTCTGTGCCCCTGGCTGCCCCCTCCCTTGTTCCTCCACTTTCCTTCCTTTCGCCTCCCTGCGACTCTGTAGTTTTTTCTTCCCCCCTGTCCTTGCAAAGCCTCTTCTCTCGCAGGGTGGGATGAGCCGGGAGGCAGGTGGGAAGATGATGCCTTTTCCTGCTCCCTTCCCGCGCCGCTTTGCAGAGAGAAGCTCTTGAGCAGAGACGGTTCTCGGGCTCTCTTCGCGTTTTGGGGGGTCGTTGGGCTGCGGTGTCACCCCGGGCACGTGCAGGCGAGTCGGGGGGCCGTGGAGCCTGGGAGGAGGGCACGAGCCAGAGGAAAGGGTCCCCTCGCAGCCCTCCGCCTTGCTGTGGGCTCCGCACGTGCTCCAGGCTCTTGGCATCTGCGACCGGTGCTCCGTGCCCAGCTGGGACGGGTGCCCGAACCCTCCTGCCGCCCACCAGCTTCTCCCCTCCGCTGCGGGAGGAGCCTTCTCGTGCTTCCAAACCGGCCCCAGGTGCCGACGGCAAGTTGTAGCTCCTTGGGTGGGAGAAGGAAGCCAGAAACGGGATGAAAGCGGCACGTGGAATCACAGGATGGTTTGGGTTGGAAGGGACCTTCGCCGGTCACCTCGTCCAGCCCGCGTCACCGAGCAGGGCCGCAATCGGGCGGCTGTGAGGGGCCGGGGTTTGGCAGGCTGGGGTTTGACGGTGGCTGGTGTGGCCTGGTGGCCATCGGGCCGGGAGGAGGCTGGTTCGGCTCCTCAAAACGGAGGGGAGGCGGAACAAAACCGCAGGCATGGAGGAAGGGAAGGGTGCACAGCCTGGGGTTTTCCCGCTGCTGTTCCTCCGCGGTGCCCGTGTGCGTCCCGTCCGCGCCGGCCATCCTGGGCCGGGCTCTGAGCGTGGGGCTGCCCCGCCACGGGCAGAAAAGGGAGCCCTGGTCTCTCCACCGTTTGGAAAACAAACTTTTAATCCCCGTGGAGGTGCGAGCCCAAAGCCAGTGAAGCGCCCTGGGCGTGGAGCTGGGAGGTTGGGGTACCAGTCCTGTTGCTGCTCTGCCCCTAAGGTGGAATTATTGCGCTTCTAAAAGAGGAGAATTTCGGTTTTTCCCTTTTTTATTCTCCTCTGTGTAAGAGGAGAGAGCTGGGCTAGGCTCCCCGCGCTCCTGGCAGCGCCCAGAGCCAGGGGCTGGGTGGTTTTCGGCACATGCCGGGCACCTCTCCAGCTTACAAAGAAAGTTAGACAGAAAAAAACCTCACCCCAGAAGGAAAATGGTACCGGTTGTAATGGTGGGCTGGGGCAGGGGGTCCAGCTCCGCGGGGGTCTGCATCTCCCCCGGCCTCGGGGGCTGCAAAACGTTGGCAGCTCCTTATTTCAAGAGCAAACCAGGCTGCGTCGGCGTGCCCCAGCGCGGCCGTCTGCTCCCTTTGAAGCTTGGGTTTTGCTGTTTACAGGGCTAGCGTTTCTTCTTTGTTTATTATATATTTTTCTAATTAAATGAAAGCTGAAGTCTTGCTTAATAACGTGACTCTGGGCCATCTAAAAGGTACTTGTAACCCCCCGGGCTGGCTGTGAGACCCAGCGCGACGGCTGCCTGCCCCCGTTGTGCACCATAAACCCATGGATGGCTCCTTCTTTCAGGAAGATTTAATATTTCCTTGTGCAGAGGAAAATTATATGGGGGGGAAAAAACCCTCTCAAAGGTGTTCCTGGAGTCGCTTTTGGACCAAAAAAACTGTCTCTGAAGTGACCCGCGATGCCTCAGTTGGCAGCAAAGCCCCTTCCCATCGGTGCGGGATGGGTGCTGGGTGTTTTCCTCATCTTTGGTGCCTTAAAACAGCTCCCCGAAACTCCTGCGGGCCCCTTCAAGAAAATGAAGTGCATGGAAAACTCTAAGGGGGCGGGGGAAAAAAAAAAAAAAGATGTGAAAAGGTAATGAGGTGCTGGCACATTTATTTATTTATTTTTTAATTTTAATTTTCCCCTAGCATGTGTTTCCCCCAGTGCGCCACGTGTAGAAATACAGAAATTATTTTTGTTTTGGAGATGCTGAAATATATTTATTTTGTTATAAGAGATGATCTAGTTTGGAAACGCTCCGTGTTGTAAATAAAACCGAGGGGGGAAAAAAATTCTGTGTTATTTATCGTTTTGAATCTGTGTGGTTTTGTTGTGGGTTTTGGTTTTGGGGTGTTTTTTGTTTGGTTTGGGTTTTTTTTTTAAAAAATTTGATTTATTTTGCGTTCGTTCCGTGGAATTCAAGTAACATAAATCCGCGTCGCTGCCTCGTGGGTCCCATCCCTGAAGTGTCGCTGCGGACTGGGGGGTCCCACCCGCCGGAGCCGTGGCTGCCTTTGATTTTTCTCTTGTCGCCCGTTGACCGTAACGGGAAAACAACCCAATAAAAGCCTCGTTTGTCTGCTGTGCCGCTCCGGTGTCCTTTGAAGGGTGGAGAGGAGGAGGAGGAGGAGGAGGCGGCGTCTTTGGAGCTTTTTGAGAGGGTGATGGGGGAGTGGGCAGCGCTGCTTTGGGGGAAACCCACCTCCCCGGGCTCTGGGTCAGGAACCAGCTGATGGGGGAAAGGTTTGAAATTAGTGGGTTTGGGGGGTTATTTTATTTATTTATTTGGTTGGTTGGTTATTTATGTATTTAAAAAATTTCTCTGTGCGAGCGATGGCCGTGAGCTCTGTGTTGCAGGAGGGAGGGGACAGCAGTGTCGCACGTGTCACTTCTACCAGACCCGGGGCCGTGCGGGGAGATCAGAAATGGGACTGGGGGGATGAAGGTGCCGGCGCAAGATAGAAATGGCCCCATCCAGAGCGAACAGTCCCTCCTCCCTGCGTTTTATTGTTGTTTTCTTTTTACCTCATTTGCAATGCAATTAATTAGCACTAAATTAAATCCAAACAGGTTCTAGTTACCTTTAATATATATATTTCTTTCAAAATCCCTTCTGGCACAGGGCTGTGGGGTCAGGCCAGCGCATCCCAATTGCCCTTTTCCCTAAAACTTGAGGAACTGAGAGAAAAACAGGCCACCTGAGCCAGGCCAGGGGCAGAGGTCGGCGCCTCAAAATCCCCCGGGACCACACGGGATCCCCACGGGACGCTCGGAAGGGTTGGAGACGTCAGGAACCAGCTGCCGGGTTCAGCAAAGGTTTTATTACGAAGCAGGGAAAGCTGCGGGATCCGCAGCACCACGGGAGCGGTTACAGGGAAAATGAGGCTGGAGAAATCCAGGTTTGAAGGGAAAACTGATCCGCGGGTGCAAATTTTAGGAGGAGGTGGCTGGGAAACACCGAATGGGTTAACGTGGCGGTGTGCGATGGGTAAATCCTTCGTGGAGTGTCTGAGACCGTGGAAGGGTCCAACACCCCCAGGCTGATGCTGCCGGAAAGCCGATGCCTTGCTTTACCATTTAATTGTACCTTAAATATAAAAAACCAGACACCAAACAGCTTCACGGAATAGAAACTCCCCTTACAATCAGCGTAGGAGCTGTGAAACAGCAGCAGCGGAGATTTTCTCGTTTGCAAAGGAGCAGCTTCAACGAGACCGAAACACGATCATATCCCCTATGAATGCAAACGATCCCACCTCGTTAACGCTGAAATGCAGCAGAAAATGTCAGAACAAAGCGTGGTAAGAACAAAACACTCTCATCCCGTTGCAAGCTGTTAACCCCCCTCCAAAACGGCTTAGTTTTCCTTGTTTTATTGCGAACAAACACCAGGGAATCCACGCGAGCCAGCGAAAATGAGAAGCAGCATCAGGCAGCAGGAGCCACGCTCTGCCTTCGCACCGAAACCGCCGATTCGGGGCTACATTTTAAAAATCACTCATTTACTTGGTTTTCATTGACTGCGTTTGCCCTTTGGGGTGACTTACCTGAGCGGTGGGAAGGCGGCCGGGAAGGGGCTGCTGCGGGGCTCCTCCTTCACGTCCCTCTTCGTGGAGCTGCCGACCGCAAGGGACCACCCGGCGGGAAACGAAAAGTGCGTTAGCGCTTGGGGTCGGGGGCTGGCGGCGTGGTGGGAGGTTGTTGCCCAGCGGGGTCCCTTCCCCGCTCCCCTTTCACCTGTACCGCTTGGTGTTGATGAGCCAGTGCACAAAGTCCTTGGCCTTCATCTTGTCCAGGTAGCGGGTGAAGTCGCTGGTGAAGGTGCCTTCCGAGTGCCGCTTGACGTCGGACGCGAAGCTTTGGGCGCTTTGCGATCCGTACGACTGCCACCTGCTCGGGAGAGAAGGGTGGGGGGAAAGAAAACGTGGTTTGACGCACAGCGTGGCGCCCTGCGCCCTCCCTGCAGCAGGTCCCCGGGGCGGGGGCTGCGTCCTCTAAAGTACTTCATCGCGCGGAGCGTCCTCCAGAAAAGCTGTAACAATTCACAAAGAGAATTTTCAGATTCAAGGGCATCTGCCAAGCCTGGCCAGGGTTGTTCCTGACCTCAGATATATGCAACATCTTGTCCTGCATTATTTGCCCTACGTCTTACTCGGCTGCAGTGGGTTCGTGCCTCCACCCTGGTCCCTGCTTGCCCCTCCCGGGAGGGAGCACGGTGCCGCCCTGAGGTTTTAGATCAACCTCCCCCAGCTCCAGGGGCGAGAGCCGATGTTGGGGTTCGTGGCAGAACGTCCCCAAAGGGTTTTCTTCCCGTGCAGCCACTGGTGCAGAGCGGGGCTCAGCACCGTGACCAGAGCATCGTCCCACCCTGACTCTGCCCCGCTGTGTCCCCGTGCAGCCCATCTCTGGTCTGACACAGCCGAGAAATCCCGGGGTGGGGGACATGGCAATGTCCCAGCATGGGCTGGTAGAGAGCCGGGAGGGAGCTTGTCCGGATAAACACGAAAGAAACGGGCGCGTTGCGATGGCCCCGGGGCCGGGAGAGCCGGCGGCAGCGTAACGGAGAGGGCTGAGCTGCTCCGCCAGCCCCTGCCCGCGGAGACCAGCTCCCCGGGCCGGCGCCACCAACGCCCCGTACCTGGACGCGGCATCCAAGTCCTCGGGGCCCATCTGCCACCCCGCTGGGATCAGCACGGCCAGCGCCAGCCCGGAGAGGTAGAGCCACCGGACGATCCGCATGGGTCCGTCTGAAGAAGGCAGAAGTCGAGATAGGAGCGTCCGGGGCTGCCATGACCCCCCCAGCCCTGGTGGGAGCCCTGGCAGCGTGGCACGGGACAGATCCAGCACGGGACAACCTCCTCCCCAGGTGTCTTGGCAGCAGTTTAGGGGGCGCAGGTGAACATGGCATCCCCACAATCACCTATCGGCACGTCTACCGTTGCTCGTGCGCCGGCACACGGCCGCGAGAACAGGTTTTTATAACCCAAAGATGTGATTCATCGCACTAAACTTTATCACGAATGTCCCCTTCTCTATCTTGGAGCAATGTTTCAATCTTGAGTCACCAGACTGCTGGAGAACTTTCCCGACCGGTAGCTGCTCAGGAAAGCACCTTTCAGAAGAGCTGATTAATTAGTTTTACATTTCTTACCTTCGCTGGATGCAGTTCAGGGGGGGAGTAAAATGCCAACCCCCCACCCTTTATTTGCTGAAAATCACACTTTTGTTTGCCTGTCGCCAAGCACATCCATTACTCTGGTTTAATTCCTTCAGAGATCGGCAGTAAAGCAGGGAGGAAAAGGCACTTACCTTCTGCAAAGAAAACCGTTCCCCCAAAAGCAAGGTCCTGTTTTCCTCCTTCAAGCTGGTTGCGGCTAAACTCTCCTTCCCGGTGCTTTTAAGCTTGTTAGTGGGATGCTCAAAGCTGATGGGTAGGTCACCGGTACTCCTGGTTTTGGTTGGATGGGTCATTATGAATCATTACAGGATTTTTTAAGCAGGGCTGTTGCAAAAAATACCCTTGTTGCCGTATTTTTCAGCATGCGCCTTCAGCAAGGGTTGTTGTTGTTGCTGTTTCTGTTATCTTTTCTGTTTTTTTTCCACTTCTTGGACCAGAGGAATGACCCTTCGGTTGCCTCCTTTCAGGTGAGGTAGGTCTTATTGCCACATGGAGAAATGATTTCTCTGCCTGCGGGGCTGCCCTTTCAAACACCTTTGGTTTGAGTTAACAAAAACATTAAGAAAAAAAGCAAAACTGCAAAAGAAGCGTTTGGGTACCCAAGCACTTGCTGCTGCTTCCTGCAGCGGAAAATTCGGGTTACAGCTCATCAGCTGGGCAGAGACCACTTTTGATCCAAGGCTGGTTTTGCCCCCCAAGGCCAGATCTGAAACTGGGGCCGGTCACCATCATTTCTTTGGTTTGGGGATGACAGGAGGCCCCGTGGGCAGCCGCGGATCTGAGTCAGCGTGTTTCCCCGTGGGACATCCAGGCCCCAGGAGCCGGAGGAGCATCTGGAACGGATCAGGCTGAGGACAATAGTTGTGCAAGGGGATTGATGGCAGGCTGCATTTTTGGGGCAGTTTTGAGATGTCTGGGGACTTCTTTGCTGAGGAATGTCTACGGTTCAGTGCTTGGGGGACTAAACGTGCCCTTTTCACAGAGGCATCGTCAATGGGCAGAGAAAAGCAAGTCTCAGGATGCTGGGCCATGTTTCTCCCTCACCCAACACCAGCCACCAGGAGCCATGAGGGCTCCAAGTCCTGATTTCTCTGCCACTTACTGTCCTCTCCTCCTGGGACCTTTCTTCTCGTGGTTGGGTAATTACTATTCTTCTGCCAAAGAGATTTCTGTAATTATCATCACTGTCAAAATATGGCTGGTGTTCAGGGGACACTCATCTTGAAGAGCCTTTTAATTAGGGCCAACAATGGCCTTATGAGAAAGCCCGACATCAGAGGAGGAAGGTAGGAGATAATTAGCTCAACCTTCGGAGGAGAGGTCCAGATCTCCTACCCATCACTCGGATGGGGTATTTATTAGCGCCACCAAATTAGCTCACGATGACACCGTTCGCGATGTCCCCCTGGCCCAGGAAGACACACGCACCAGCTGCAGCAGTGGGGGGCTCAGGAGAAGAGAAATTCAGCTCAGCCAGCGCAGTGCTCGTCGTGTTGCTTCTTGGTTTTCTCAATAGTGTCAGAGCGGGCTGGAGGAATGTCCGACAGGACACTTTCCGCCGCTGTCCCCGGGTGATTTTCAGCAGCCCATTGGGTCGGGATGGTCTTCCCTTTCCAAGTGGCCTCTGTGGTCTCCCCCTTTCCATCTCGGTTGAGTTGCTGGTGGGTCTGCCACCCTGGGGGACAGCACTGTGGGGGACATGGACCTGGGTTTTAACACGCACATGCAGATCTGGATTTTAGGAATTGGAGAGGTTTTTACGGACAGCAGGTGGCAGCCTTCCTCTGCCCGTCCTTCCTCTGCCTCGCAGCCTCCTCCTCATTGCTCGGCGGCTCCCAAAACACCCGGTGTGTCCTTGTTAGGACCGAAGAGATGTGATGTGATGTCTGTCTCTTCGGGAATGGAAGACCCCAGGCTGGGGCATGCTGTCGGTGGCAGCGCGGTGGTGCCACAGCCCAGGTGGGTGGGTTTTGGTTCAAATCCTTGCTCTGCCTGGATCTTCGGAGAAGCACCTTTGAGGACACACGAGCACCCTGCGCTGATGGAGCAGGGACTCAAGAAGCTGATAAAAGAAAGCTCCTGGACTGTACTCTGCATCCACCAGCCTTTGGATAGACCCATCCCTGCCCCATCCAACCTTTGCTGCCTTTTCCCATTAGGTCCCCCAGGACTGGCCGTGTGGCCGACCCCCACCTCTACCAGCCATGGCCTCTGCGAGCATGGGGAGAGGCAGGAGGGGCCAGGCTGCTCTGATGGGGCTGGTGGGACGTGGCCTTGCTGGGCTGTCCGAAATCAGGCTGGAAACACGATGAGTTTATGCACGAGCCTGCTCTTAAATGATAACGCCAACGTGCCGAGCCTCACGCTGCCACCAGCCAGCTCCTGCTTTGGGGCTCGGTTTCCCTGCCCGGTGCGGTGGGGTCTGGCATGCAAGAGCCTGAAGGTAACCACAAAGTCACCACAGATACAGCAAACTGCTCCAGTGCTGCTGTCCTGTAGCTGCAGGTGCAGTCGAAGCCAGTGATGGTTAATTTTGGAGGGTTTTACCACGAGCAAGGAGGAATAAAGGCTTTGACTTCACCACCTTGGATCCTCCTTTGCTTCCCACAGAGGCGCGTTTCAGATCCAACCCAGCGCAAGAGAGCAGGAGATGGAAAAACCTTCCCCCATGTGCCCCCCTCGGAGCCCGGAGCCCCATGCCTCAGTGCTCTCCACTCTTGTTTCTCCCGTGGCTGAAGGTGCTCGTGGCCTCCTCCCTCCCTGCCACAACTGGAGGCAATTTTATACCCGTGTGTTGGAGCGTGCTGCCTCTCGCTGGCAGTGCCTTCTGCCAAGGCATAGCTGGGCAAAGAAAAATCCCTCTCGGGTCAGTGGTTTGACATGAAACACCTTTGGGGTGACGCTGAGTGCGTGGTTTCAGTTTCAGCATCTTTGGGGCTTTCTTCCTCTTTTGCTTTACAGGTGTTTAAGAGCAGGGGGAGGGCCATTAAAGAAAGATATTCTAAGTTCCCAGAAAGGTATTTTGGCAGCTCTGAAGGGACATGGGTTATTTTCCTGCCTCTTTTACCCTTTGTGTGTGCTTTTTTAGGCAGGAAAAAATATCTGCCTTTGGTGCTGCACAGTTGAGGGCCTGCAGCCTCCTGGCTGACCCTTGATGCCAGGGAGGAGGAGTGTGGTGGGATGCAGAGATGGTGCTGGGCCACGCATCAGGCTGTGACAAGCTCATTTGGAGCCACGAGCCCATAGGAATAGGGGTCAATGCCATGCAGCCCTTCCCAAAATCAAGCTCAGGCTGTATCGACCCCATGGCAGATCTCCATTTTTGATGAATCTATTACTTTTCTCCCTGCACTGTTAACATACCAGAAGGAAACTGGGTGAGATCCCTCTTGCCCCCCAGCTCCCATCGCCCTCCTGTCCCCCCAGCACTACATGTCCGTGATACCCGCGCAGCGAGGCGAGCCGCTGGGTGCCATGGCCATGCTTCCCACGTGGGAAACTCGAACGTGAGCCTGGAGAAGTGGAAGCGGTTCCAGTAGCAGACGGTTGGATGAGAAACCAGCTCGTGCCCGTGCTGGGCTGGGAGATGGGTGAGCTAGTGGGGAACTGCGGGCAAAACGCAGTGGGGTCAAGCAGGGGGCTCTCACATTTGGGATCTGGCCACCCGGTGGGGATCCAGCTGCGGTGACACTGCTGCAGGAGTGTCCCTGCTCCTCCTCATCAGTGGGAGCCGCTGGTCATTGGGGACCAGTGAAGGTCAGATTAGAGGCTCTGCCCTTTCACCCGGTGCGTTTTACCTCCTTTGGCTAAAACCCCAGCAATCAGCCTCAGCAGGTGGAGCAGGACACGGGCCACCTGGCTGAGCCCTCGCTGCTACAAAACCTGCTGCTCAGCACCCCTGTAGCCTTCAGCCCTGCGAGGCTGCCATCCCTCCTGCTCCCTCATCCTCCTCGGTGGTCCCTGGCTCCCTGTGGGCTCTCAGCACGATGCTCTGCCAGCAAAAGGTGGGTGCTTCCCTGTTGCTTGTGGCCGAGAGCGGGTGCTGTGAGCTGTGCCAGGTGCCATCAGGTAGTTTGGAGCAAGCGCTGAGCAGGATCCGTCCCTCGGGGCACTCTGGCCCTGCACCAAGTGATTGCTGGTTTGTGCTGGGGCCCTGGGGGAGCTGAACTGGGGCGGCTCTGGGCAGGCGAAGCTGCGAGCGTGTGGGGAGCTCTTGGGGCATTGCCCATGGGGTTGGGTGGCTGTGGGAAGGTTTAGCTCGACACCTCGGTGGTTATGTGCCTGCAGCCTGCCACCCCCCCGATTTAGGGTTAGGGTGGGTTTTTTTAACTGCACCCCTTTACTTGGGACAAAGGGAGATGATGGTTAATGGTTTAGTTCTGCCAAATGGCTTTGAAATGTGGAAAACTGCGTCAGGTTTCTTTTTTTCCCCCTGCATCTTCTCCCTACCTATGATGCTATAAAGATCTTCTAGACCCCACTGAGACAAGTTACCATCACGCATGGGCTAAAAAGTCCTCAGCAGAGTCTGGAGCGAATGTGGCAGAGGTTTTGATTTCAC